TACACTACTCACTATACACACATATCCTACAAGCAGAAAAAAAACACTGACTCTAAGCTTATGAAGATTCTGGTGGTAAGAGCCCAGATGAGGCTGTCTTCTGTGACAGTAACCACACGCATGCTTTTAATCCAAACACACCAGCCTTTGTGAGGCGCAGCACCAGCGGTGGTCTAGTTCAACTGTCCCCATCCATGACACCATATAGTAAATCAAGATCATCTGAGTGGACTTTTTCCCACTTCCACAGACAAATACCACAAAATACCATGGTTACTACTGTATTCGAACCACCACAAACAGAAAAAGAAAGAAGATCAACCTTCTGACAGGATTTATGAATCACTCAGACACACATGCTTGCCAGAGAATATCGTTTTGTCCTGATTCACAGAAATTAATTTTGTGCTGATCCATTGCCAGCTATTTTTCCGAGACACAGTTCTCATAGATTGACAATCTGCTATCAAAGGTAAACTTGAGAGCAGTTACTGGACCAGCTCAGTGCACTGGAAGCATTAATGTTGCCTGGTAACATAACTTTGGACAAAACATTTCACTTCTTTGCCCTCTAAACTGCAATAACGGTTTCTCCCATCCAGCTTGGCTTCAATGGACTTACATCAGCTTTGGTTGCAGTTTTTGAGAAGAGTTTTCTCCGAAGTGACAAAAATGTTTTGTGTGTAACCAGAGCGTTAAGGGGAGGCTTTCATACAGTACAACAGTCACTTAGATGTCTGTTTGAATTTGAGATTTTGGATATGGAAATATGAAAAGCGGTGTTGTGATGGGAAACCACGAGGAAATTTTAGGTGTTTTTACTGTTAGCTCCAAAATAAGAGTATTTCATGGGTGGACAGGATTGGGGATGCATGAAGTATCAGGTACAAATATGGCTCCTTTCTGGACAAACGTTGAGGCACTATTTGGATTAGCAGTTAACTCCGGTCAGGGTGGTCTGGGATACAGAGTTTATGTTTAATTTAAACATAGGCTCTCTGAGTCTGCATACTGTCACTGTGCTGAGAAAAGCCATGCTGATCAGTTAAACAAGAGGTGAAATTGTAGGTTGAATGTGTAGTCTGATGGCTGAAGTTATAAAACCTTTTTGCGGCACACAACCTGGCAGAGAGAGTCTTGTTTATAGTGGAAGTCACTCGCTGAATATATATAGTTTTCATCTTTTTCTTATGAGCTACTGTACACTATAGGCACATAATTAGCTGTTTAACAGTCCTATATATTTGGGAAATATCTCGGATTGTGCTACCTACCTTTAACTCATTCCCGTCTTCTGTGACCCTTCACCATGACAAGAACACTAAACTAAAACATACATTTGCCTTGAAAGAGGAAAAGATCTTTTTAGCTTCATGAGGAACAGCTATTTTTAAATCGAACCAAATAGTTTACCAGCTCAACTGGTACAGAAATATTCACCACCTGAGAATGACATGTCTGTTTGTACCCTGGCTGGGGGGTGAAGGCTTTGACATTTAAAGGCAACATGGTCCCCAGTTCGTGTCCAGCTGGGGACATTCATTGCATGTCATTCCCCATCTCTGTCTCCCCTCATTCTCCTGTCAACTTTCTACTTTCTGCAGTCCAACAAAGAAATAAAATGTGCCCTCAAAAAAGTCCACAGCTGTGCTATCGGCTTTGTCAGGCTGTAGTACTTAGGCCAAGCAGTGCTTTAAGCTAAATCTTAAACTGGGCATAAGCTGTAGGATTTGAGCCTGTTTCCCTTTAGAGTCGGACCGAATGTTGGCTGACGCTAGACTCTGGCACAAAAAAAACAAGTGGCAAACTGAGAGTCTGAAAGGGCCATGGCGACAGGTCACGGCACATGGACGGGAAATACGGAGCAAAACTTTATTGACAATTGTCAATAACCAGAATGGTCTGCTGGCTAAAAACAACATGCTTGTTATAGACTTATTTTATTTTTGAAAACATTTCCTTTAAGTTCTGCATAAACATAAATTATAGGATCTATGGTCTTCCTTTCCATCCAGCACCAGCAAAACTGAGATGGGCTGCAGAGAGGGAGGGGCTGTTAAGTGAGTAAGCTGTCAGCTGCACTGACACACCACAGATGCACCACTATGACACTCTTAATCAGAGTGTAAAGTAAACAGAGCCTGTCTGGACATGGGCTGGGTATCAGTCAGACAGTGAAGGACTACAACAGTAAACAGGTACTGACCTGTCTTGGTTAGACAGAAAAAAAAGGACAAAACAGTGTTGCTTAAGCAAAAGTAAACAGAAAAGGCAAAGATGTGACATATTGTTTTATTTTACAAATGGATGTTTACCATTCATTTCTATGAACAATAAAGTAGGTAGAAGTAGCCATGACAACTAGATTTTTATTCAGATATTCTGGTACGCTACCTATCACTGTTATTTTAAGACTGTTATATAAATTCAATTGAACATTGTTCTGTTTTTGTCTGAAAACAGACACTATTCAGGCAGTGATGCGTCTAGATATGACGTCTAATCTTATCCTCTTATACTTGAGCACACACACGTATGCAATACATACACACACACACACACCACACACAGTAGCAAGGGAAAAACAAACAGGCAGGGTTTTGCTTTTCCTGCAAAATCTAAATATTGACTCAGTAACCTATAATCATACACAGTCTGAACAAAATTGAAATAAACAAGTGTGCCTGTAATGTGTAAGTGTTTGTGTGTCTCATGGGCACTGAGGCCCTTGAATGCTGACACTGACAAACACACATAAAACAGAGGAAGTGGTTCAGTTTTTGGTGAATACCAGACAATATGGATTCCATCCAGCACACTGGAGCAACATAAATTATTTTCTATTCTCTACATATACAAAGAAGTTCTTTCGAAAGCACTGAGCCTTCCGTCTCTGATCAAACATCTGCTATCAATTTACATAATTTAACTTTCAGATGACTCACGTACAATATTCTCACATTAAGAGGCTTTAAATTGCCAAGTAAAAAAGGCAATAAAAATTCCATCATGCTCTCAGAAGAGCTTTAGCACGCCAATGCCAAGTTTCCAAGTGACATCAGCAGCCAGTCAGCCACGCAACTGTGTTATTATTGTGTTGTAATGTTATTAAAAGCTCATTAAGTTTCATATCAGACTTTCAATGTATTTCTTTTTCCTTTGCTGGGAGAAACAGTACAATGTGGAGAAAGATACAGACTGGGTATGCTGACTTAGAAGGCATTGTTGCTCTACGGACCATAATGACTGCTTTCCTAAGTAAACTTGATTGATTGAATGAGGCTTTTGTGTTGTTAGCATACTGTTGGATCTTTTGGTTTTTCTCAGTGAGTCTTTATGGCTCATTAGTGAAATGGCAACGCTGAAACATTTCTGGCTCTACTGAGGCCTGTCAGACTGTGCTGCTGATGCCAGATATCATCAGAGGCTAACAAGGAAACACTGAGTCTGAAAGAAATGAAAGTTGTTAATGAACACGGACAAACTGTTTTTTTTTTTTTCTAATTTTAAAGATGTTTTGTCTTCTAACTCTGTGTCATCTCAGGTCAAAAGATCAGTTCAACGTTCTGGGAAATATTCTTATTCACTTTCTTCCCAAGATGATAAGATCCATAACTATATGGTAAATATTAAGATGGACCCTGGTTAGCTCAGCTTAGTATAAAGATTGGAAATGAGGAAACTCTAAAACTCACCTATATGCTAAGCTAAGCTAACTAACTGCTGGCTCTAGCTTCAAATTTACAGTATAGAAATGAGAGTGGTATTGAGAAAGCAAATAATCAGATTTCCCAAGTGTTTCAATTCTGATATGAGTCATCAACCACATGAGAAGATTACAGCATGTCCAGAAAAACTCACATTGTATTGTCTCAACAAAAGGACTTCTCTTATTGTTATTGATTGATGGTTTTTCAGAACTCGTAGAAACAATGATGTCCTTTTACTTGTTCTGCAATATCTGGGCTTGCATCCCAAAATCCCATTATGTCCAAACAAAACAGAGTTGGTCTCAACTTTCTTAGCAAGAATATGAAAGGAGAGCATTGTTCATACATACTTAGACATGGGAGAGGCAGGCTGGTTGGATTCCCAGACTGGCAGATCCAATCTGAGTAAGGAAGGTGAAAGACTATGTACTTGGCAGCTTCCAGGTGTGAATGTGTGTAAATATCCTGTTATACCTCAGCCCAAAGTGTTCTATTAGGCTTGTTGCTTTAAAAAGCAATTTGAGCAGATGGCCGATGAAATAACACAGTATCTTACAGCTAATGTAAAAGGCTGTGTGTGTGTGTGTGTGTGTGTGTGTGTGTGTGTGTGTGTGTGTGTGTGTGTGTGTGTGTGCGCGTGTGGTCAAAACATAATAAAATTACAGATTTGGATGGAAATACAATCTGCAAATAAGATTATAATGCCATCCAATGTCTATCTAGTTTGAACACAAAGCACCTTTTGTGTGAATTTTGCGTGATTTGTATATTTTTGTGTGATTGTATATTTTAAGCACCATTGCACCAAGACAAATTCCTTGTATGTATAAAATCCTACCTGGCAATAAATCTGATTCTGATTCTGATTCTTGTCCAATCTATAACAACACAGTTCTTGCGCACCATTAGGTCTCAATTTCTATGACCAATACCTCTTTACTGAGAAGGCATCAAAGCATCCTGCACACTGACAATGACTTGTGCTCAATTCAAGCCCAGACTGAAATATGAAATAGCAACAATTGGATGGATTGCCATGAAATTTTGTATGCTGACATTTATGTTTAGTTCAAGTACAGCCTTACAGACAGGGGCGGATCTGGAGGGGTCTCAATGGTAACTGATACAGTTATTAACATTGTAAATAAAGTGTGTACACTGACAGTGTGTTGGATTCTTTGGTTCCATCCAATCTGAAATACAGTATGAAATTTTTTTACCTATGTCCTTACATAGAGACATCCATACATTCACACAGAACTTTTTGCAACTCACTGAAGAACACAAGCATCTTTTCAGTTGTCTTTATTTAAAAATGTCTCTACAAATAACACTTACACCAACAAGATGGAATTAGCATAGTGTGAGGCAGACTTAGTGGGCCCAGTGAGGTTCCTGGTTCCTTCATCAACACAGCTGAAGGAATGAGTAGAAACACTTGTCCTGATTGGGCCTCTTGATTGTGCTGTTTGTCCTGCTTTAGGTTGAAAAAAAAAGATAAAATTATGTATAATCTTAGACAGTTTGGTAATTGATGCCTATATTATATGGTCTTCTGTAAGTTTGATACATAACAAAGTTGAATACCTCATTTTTTATGCTTTTTACAGATGGAAAGATACTCCCGAACATCATCAGGGGATCCCAGGACCACAGGAACTCGCTCATGGATGCTGGTGGGCTGGATGTCCAGGACATTCACCGATCCTGTAGTGGCCATGCCTCCTGCCTGCTCCATGATGAAGGCCATAGGGTTGCATTCATACAACAGCCTCAGCTGAAATACAAGAAGAAGTAAAAGGAGTGACTTGATGAGAAGATACATGAAAAATAACATGTGGATTTTACAGGAACTTGACATGATTTGAAAGGATTCCATAATCAAATGCCTTCTGTCCATGTGTATAAACTCCTTTGCTCACCTTGCCCTTAGGACTCTTGACATTAGCAGGATATAAAAAGATGCCTCCATACACCAAAGTACGATGAACATCAGCTACCATTGACCCAACATATCGACTGCCATATGGAGCAGAACCATCCTAGAAACACAAAAAAATGATTTAGAATTATGAGGCAGTATTTTACATATCAGAATCCAAAATATTCTATATTCATTGACACAGTACAGTATAATTAATAAAGGTCACTGGCCACCAATCCTCATCAGGCCTTTGCAATGTAATAATGTTCAAAAACGGTGACTGTACATTACTTTCCATTACCTCTGGGTACTTCTTCTTTTGTAGGTACTCAGATACATCTGGATAAAAATGCTGTGCATATCCTTCATTCAAACTGTAGATTTTTCCCTTTTTCTTAATCTTCACGTCTCGATCCACCAGAATGAACTCACCAATGGCCTGAAAAATAAATGTGGGGAACTGATGAGAAGGATAATGAAGACACATACAAACTGAAAGAAGGAGCAACAAGGAATCATAGAAAAAAAAAATACATATATATATGATCAGGTATCATTTCTGATGCTATCTGCTATAATGAAAAACATTAGTCTTACGGGATCAAGCATAAAGCAGTTGACTCCTTGCCCGGTGGAGAGGACCATCATGGTGGCACTGCCATACAGAGCATAACCAGCTGCCACAATGTTTCTTCCGGGCTGCAGAGCATCCTTCTCAGCTGGCTCATCATCTGTCGTCTGTGGAACAACACATGATAAAATATCAGAACAGAAAGAGGCATTTTAGAAACCAGTACTATTGTTGACACTGCCAGTTAGAATGCAGTTTTTTTTTTAAACAAGGATACGGTACTGGGGGGGACACTGTAAATATCTAACCTATTTTTATGTATTAAGAGCCGGTGTACAATTTTTAAATTTTAAAAAAGGTAATATTTCATCCACAGTAGTGAATATGTTCACTCTGTGTCTTATTTAATCTCATTGAGTAGTTCATCTTTATTTATCCAGGAGTACTTGTACTAAATGTGTTTTGCCAATGTAGTGAACAAGAAGTATATAGTAGCACAGTATAGAATTACTCATGTAGTATTTAAGTATTTACTCAGGACCTGAATAAATGTACTTAGTTACATTTCATCACTGGAACCTACTTTTATTTTACAGATTTTTGCAAAACTCTGGAGAGGGTTTTCCAAAATGTTCAGGGAATAAAATAAAATATAACACACACACAAAAACCGGCTGATAATAACTTCGGTTTGGAATCAGCATGCAGTATTGTAGTTACTAACCTTTTTGTAGATGGCAAAAATTGTTCCAATTGAGACGAGACAGTCGATGTTTGAGGAACCATCCAGTGGGTCAAAGCACACAATGTATTTTCCCTGTCAGTTGAGAACAAAAAATGATCACTGTCACAATAATAACAGAAAAAAACATGTGAAAAAATCTATAACATAAAGAAAGAGGACACATAGTTTTGCACAAACATGCATGTTAACACTGTTCAGATGTAAGTACCCTCTTATCTGGTTCCACAATGATGGCCTTCTCATCCTCTTCCGACACCAGCACACAGGCACTGAAGGAGGACTTGATCATGTTGATGACCAGGTCATTGGACAGGACGTCCAGTTTCTTCACCTGGTCCCCTGTCACGTTGGTGCTTCCAGCAATGCCATATCTTCCAAGAGAGGAAAGACGAGCAGACTGTGTTTAAAGTCTGAGTAAAAAGCCTTCCATTATGATGCAAGTTTAAAACACAATGAAGGACATGTAATAATATGTGTAATATGTTTGTTATTTTGTTAAAATGTTGTAAATGTGAAACCAGTGAGAACTGTCTGAAAAGCACATTATCTTCTTGACCTCTGCCCTTGTGGATTGTACACAACAACATAGTTTACCTTTGGACAGGGCCTGAGTTAAAAGTGCTTACAGACTCTCGTGTCATACTGCATGTAACATGAAAAAAACCTAATGTGCCAAAACATGATAGAAATTGAAACTTGCTAATCTAAAAGTAATGTTAATATAAAAGCAAAGCCTTCAAATAACAGTGACTTCAAAATGATTTATATCATTAAAAGGGGTGTACACTGTAGTTCCTCCTTCTCATTAATCTGTACAATAGTTACTAGATGCTCGTATATTCAAATGCATGCTTGTTTCCTTCTATTCCCACCATTTAAAAAGAGAAATACTACTCACAGGTTAGCAATCCCAGCCTTTCTGACAGCAGTTGAAATGGCTTTGACAGCTGTGCAGATGGAGTTGAGCAGGTTTGTCAGCTCACCTGTTCCTTGGGCCTTTCTGCCCTCTTCCAGAACAAACCTGGTGAGGGTCAGGACGTTGGTATCGAATTCTCCTTTGTCAGACATTTTGTTGTCAGGAGTGGGGCCGGGACTGGGACCTGATGCCTTAAGTGAAATAGGTGAGCGAGGCCCTAACGTTAAAAAGTGGACTCATGAGCTGAGGTAGGGGAAGGGACGGGGGTGTGCGACTCTTCCAACCAATCAGAAGTGTCCTTCTCACAGGTAGGGGTTGGATTGATCACTTCTGTAACTGTGGGTTCAAAAGGGCAAAGTTCAGAGATAGGGAGCGTTTGTTTTGTTTTAAAGTAACAATGGCCTTCGTCTGATTCAATCCCTGCTCATTTTGATTATAGGATTTAGTGTGTGTGTGTGTGTGTGTGTGTGTGTGTGTGTGTGTGTGTTTCAATGAACAAAATCACTTCATTAAGTCAAATTGTTACACAGCACTACATTCCTTACAGTACATCAACAAATGCTCCATGCTTTTCAAACATATGCTGGATTCCTACTATTACACGTTTTATTTGTTTAGCTTTACAATTGCCAAGCATGAGTTTTACTTTGCTACTTTAACATACTTTAACTAACACTCATACACTTCCCTTCCCAAAAACATCCCACATTCATGATGCAAAAATGTGCACAGCTTGTACTGGATATGACAACCTCAGCACTTCTCCGGCCACACTATTAAAACATTCCTTCCCTGCATGATCCTGAAGAAGTGTAAAGTTCAAATCATGGGACTCATTGTCCTTGCCTACCCTGCCAGATTTTATATAACACCCTTAATTTTACATGTGCTGATAAAACAGTCTTTGCAAGGTAGGCTAATAGACAGCCACGCTCAGAGGGAGCAGTTGTGCATGTTGTCTGTGTCGGTGTGTCTCTGCATGCATGTGATTAGTTTATGGCAGTCTCTGTCGTGAAACAAACAGGGAAAGATAAAAGGACTTGAGTTCAAAGATACATTACGTAACACATAAGCTTACGTCAAATGCTACCGAGACCTGTTTCACCACTGAAAGTTAAAGTTGAACTTTGAACTTAACAAGATACCATGCATGGTAAAAGGGACCACCATGAGGTAATGAATGATGGTTAATCACACACCATTCATAGCTTTTTCGGGTTAATGATAAAATAAAGTTGCAAAGGTCGGCCTTGCAGACAAGCATGTGGGAACTACAAAAATCATCTAATATAGACCCTATTATTTTGGTTTAATGGGTCCCTTACATACAAATACAGAGGCATACAATTTAAAAAATAGTTGTAATAAAAAGAAATATATGTTGTCTGGAAAGAACATTTACACTAAAATGTATTATTTTTGCTGGTTCTCACAGTCAAACTGTGTTAAAACGCATTTGTTATTCCAAAATGTATTTCTGTATTGCGTCCACATGATGTCACTGTGCAGCTTACACGCTGCTGAATATAAATGAAGTCTGGTGAGAAGGTTCAGTCCTGAGGACAATGTCATTCCCAGCTAGTCTCTCTGTGCCTTGAATCAGTCTGAGTTTGGTTGTTCTCTGCAAGCAGTCGCTGTAAGGTCCATTCTGCAGGATGTAAAAGTGACCTTCTTCTTTTTACAATTTGTTATTGTATTTTATAAAGTGGAATGGTAAACTTAAATCCATGCAGAATTTAGCTTTGGAAAACTCATAGACCCTATCTCCCCAAAGTGAATTTAGGTCATAATACTGAAAAACTACAGTATATTCAATGACTCTCGTTTTTTTACACTAAATAAACACTAGGAGTTCATGTAAAGAAATAAAATATGTTATAAAAAAATATTTATGTATTGGTCAAAACATTCCCTTCTCCTGACAGGAAGCATGCAAAACATTTGTAAGAAAGACGCTTCAACAAATTTGCAATCTTTACGCTATGTAATCGATTCAACAGAAGAAAAGACCTGATCAATATTTTATCGGGGACTATTCATCACCTGACGGACTCCCAGGAGCACCTGCTGTGCATGTTGACAGCCCTGTGCACATGCGCAGTGCTTGTCCTACTCCTGCAGAGTGAAAACTTCTTTCTTCACAGGAATGGCGTTTCACAAGTAAAAAGGTGAAACAAATGAGGAACGTGGGTACATGAGATACACTCGCGGTCGCATTAATGTCTCACAATGTGATATTCGTCCATTCCCAACTGGTAAGGCTACTGTGTGACATTATTTTTTAACTTCTACATCCCCAAAACCTGCTGTAGGTGTTCCCCTTCACCGCCTGCACAGGTGAGTGGCAGCTCATCACATTAGCTAGCTAACGTTAGGCTAACGGGGGAATGCGCACTGACTTTAGTTTCAGTTGTAAAAGAGAGAGAGAAAAAGAAAGGTAATAAAGTTAAGTAAGAGTTTTGAGCATCATATCACAGTTTAACTTTATCTTGTAATTCTCTCATACTGACCACAAGGCGTCAGACTTTTTTTTTGTCCCCCTTTTTTAGGAGACATTTTGGAATGAAGTCATCTTTGACTAAGGAATACCTACCTGTTTCAGCAGGTTCTGTTTACATGTCGGTGTCAAAAGTTGAGGAATTATTTGGTGAATTGCACCTTCCAAGCTAAATGATAATGAGGACCTCCTAACCCCGCTTTCAAAACAGAGAAAAGGGGGACATGACCCATCCTAGACCCAACACTTTTTGCTTGTGACCCTGTAAGACAACAAGCTTTCTACCTGACCTCCCTGTCAGCGGTTGCATATGATTGATTTTCTATTTCCCTCACTTATTTGGATAATGTTTAGAGTTGAAATTTTGGAGCAATTCACCAGACATGAAGCTGAAGTTTGCAGCAGTTAAATAGGAACTCTTACCTGCCTAAAACATTTATTCTCAAAGTGATTGAAAGAAACAAACACAACATATATTGAAAACATTTGCTGACCACCACGCCTGTACACTGTGAAATGACCCCAATTGAAATTAATTACTGATCCCTCTTGTAGACTATTTGACTTTCAGATGATGTGTACTAATGGCAGGACGGCTGGTGTTTGAAAACTCACACCCAAAAAAAGTCTCCATAAGTTTAAACTTGAAGTTAAACAAATAACAGTACGCTATAAGACAAATGACATTAAGCACCAAATGGTTAGGGGTGTTTGGGTCAAGAAAGCATTACTGTATTTAGTTATGTGCCAAAAGCTAAGATGGCACACACAGAGTGAGAACATATCCCAATAGCCACTGGGCATCAGTCTGTGTGTAAGTTAAGACTGAATGAGAATCTGTGAGTTGCTTTGTGAATACAAAAGATGTGCTGTACCAGACATTTATTTAAATAATGGTGTTTATATAAGCAGTACAATGTTCTGATGTAGATGACTCAAAAAGGCATAAAGCATACATACATTTAAATCTCATGTTTAAATTCCACTTCCTTGTTTCTTTCCTTGCCTCTCTAATCCATTCATCTGTTAGTTCCAGATTCTGTTTTTCAGACTCGACTCTGCTCCTCTACAATGAGTTTTCCCAAGTCACTCTGTAACATTCATGTAAGAGCAGCAGAAATAGTTACGGGTCACTGTGGCTGATTCTAAAGAGAACTCACTAAACTTATTGGATTCATGGCCGGAGGCTTGATGTCATGTCAACTTGTTCAGTCCGGCTTTAGAAGTGTCTTAGATGTCAGTGTGCAGACAGCCTGACTTTAATGTGGAGTGTCATTCTTTTATATTCACATAGTATTTACTTACACATAAAAACATGTGCGAAATGTTACATATCTTAGTGATCCATGTTTAATTGAGGAACAGTGATGGAGGCAGGTCTTACCACATAGAAATAAATGTTTGTAATCATATTTATTTATTCATAGCTATATTTTTGTCTTATAAATTTCTTCTGTGCATAAATTGAATGTTCTTTTCTCTGCTCAGTCCTGCTGCTTTTGCTGCTCAAACAACCTCATGTTATCTTATTTAATGTATAAAACAAAAACTTGCAAATGTAACCGACTCTCTATGAAGGAAGAAAAATAGTTACTGTATAAGGCACTGATAAACGAAAGCCTGTCTACATTCTCTACAAAAAACTGTCCACATGCTGACAACAGAAGGTGCCTACTAATGAGAAAGTGATATGGCATTGCAATGTGGTGAGTCACTGTTGTGCACTGAGGCTCAGCCTTTTGCTCACTGTACTTTTGCAGAATTAACTATAATATGTCATGGCGTGGTGTTGCATTTCCTTTATGTAAGCAATGTAAGGTTAGCTGTTATTGACTGCTGGACCTGGGCTGGTAGAGAGAAAGGAACTGAATGAAAGATGCAGTAGGACAATACAGTGAAAGCCAATTATCAAGATGTAAAGAATTGTTAACTTGCTACATTTTTCTTTAATTTACAGACTTATTCAAAGTTCTAACTGGATGTAAAGGGGTCGCTCCATTATTGATACTTTGTGAATCATTTTCATGGATCAAGGCAGTTACATCTTGACAAATGTGTCAGGTAACTATTACTGTTACTTTCCCTTAATGCTTAAATGCTATTTTTTTTTCTTGTTCTGGATTTCATAACTGGTATTTTTGGTATGTGTAATGGACAAATTATGTTTAGCCTTTTGTTTATAGATGTTACATTTGAATTTTATAATTGCAGAGAAGGGTATGTCTCCATCAACAACAACTCACATTCCTCTGAACTAAATACAATTTAAATGCTGTTATACCTGTTTTATGAATTACAATTTGTATTGTGTAGGTAAGTGTTAGATAAATGAAAAACATTTCTGTTACTTTTTTGTGTGTTGACTGGCTGAAATACTTGGAAGATGTCTGTGGTTGGTAAAACCTGCCAAAAGTATGGTCAGGCATTTAGAGGGAAAGTTGCAGAGTAATTATAGAGTGGGTTCAGTCTATGTAGAGAGACGTACCATTTGGAGAGAAGTGACTACTGAAAACAGAGTGTCTACACAATTGGTAAATCCTCCTCTGTCCCTCCTCTTCTTGTGGGACGGGCTCAGAGAGTTTATAGTCAAAAACATTTTGAGGTGATAGAAGTAAGGCTCTAGACTCGAAAAGAATCCGTTGCTGATGAGCGTATTATTGAGGTAAGGAAAGAAAAAGAAACTGTAAGGGCAGAAAGTGGTATAAATCAGTAGAAAGAGATTTTCCATAGCAT